TCAACTGCCCATCCCACCCCCCCCCATAAGATACCATTTTTCAATTGTAGTTTTCACCACCTTTTCTTTTGAAGACTAGGTCATGAATTCACTGCCTAGGCTGATGTCCAGGAGAGTGTTTCTAGGTTTTCTTCCAGGATTGTTATAGTTTGAGGTCTTGCATTTAAGTTTTTAATCCATCTTGAGTTAATTTTGGTTTGTGGTGATAGGTAGGGCCCAACTTCATTCTTCTGCAGATGGTTAACCAGTTTTCCTAGCATCATTTGTTGAAGAGGGTGTCCTTTCTGTGGTTTATTTTTCCCCCCCAACTTTGTCAAAGATGAGTTGGTTGTAGGTCAGCAGTTTTATTTCCAGGTTCTCTATTCTGTTCCATTGGTCTATGTATCCATTTTTGTATCAGTCCCATGCTGTTTTGGTTATTGTAGCCTTGTAGTAAAGTTTGAAGTCTGGCAATGTGATGTTGGCTTTGTTCTTTTTTGCTTAGGATTGCTTTGGCTACTCAGACTCTTTTTTGTTTCTATATGAATTTAAATTTTGTCTTGCTAGATCTGTGAAAAATGATGCTGGTAGTTTAACAGGGATTATGTTGAATCTGTAGATTCCTTTAAGATATGCCTGTATATTTTTAAAAGTTTCATAAGGGCACATTATTTGTTCAAAGTGTAGTTTGCATGAAGAGAAAGGTACAGTCTCACGGAACTTTATATTGTATTTGGAACTTTCAAAAGACTAAAACTCCACTATTGGGCATTTCCCCTAGGTGTCGTGGTGATCTGTTGATTCTGAACTCTTTACCTCAAAAGTCTAGGCCCTAAGATGGTGGAATGACTATCACACTTCTGTTCTTGATCATAGTTTATTTAATAGACATCTTTATAAAGATGACCTTTAGATGACCTTTAGAAATCATGAAATTTTTTTATGTGCACCATGCCTCTGGGTGTGCTCTAGGACTATAGGGTTTTAAATTAATAGCTAAATCCCGTTGGGCAAATTACGGTTTCATAATCTAGTGAAAATAAATAACACCCAGGTTGTTCTGAGATTTAAATGAGAAACTGTGCATAACAAGTTTAGCATAGTGTTCTGCACAGAGTAAGTACTCAGTGATTGATAGCCATTGTTAATTAAAATCAACCTAATAGACTTCCCAAAAAGGATGCTTTTTTTTGAGGGGGGAGAGTCCACCTCCGTCTGTTGTTTAAAGAATGGCACCCTCAGAGAACAGCAGCTTCTCAATAATACAGGAGGTGACAATCTAAAGTTAATTGTACATAAAGTCTCTTATATTCTTTCTAATTACTTAATGAATTTTCTCTGGAATGTGTTTCCTTTTGTGATGAGGACCTAAAAAACTGTTCAAGTTGCTGGACACTATATACCTTTCGCTTAAATAGCAAAATTATCTATATTAAATAAGAAAACAGAAAAGAGAGAGACCTCTTTTGAAATTGAGCAGCTACGAATGTGTTATTTTTAAGTCCAGAAAAGAGACTTTGTCTTGGATTTTTTTTTTTTTATTAATCTGGAGATCTGCATTTTGCTTTTCGATTGGCTCCAGTTAAGTCAGGGCTCACTCTGTCTTGAGTTTCTTGCTCTGTTCCCAGTTTTCCGCTGCACCGCAGTTTCTCCGGAAGCCTCTCAACATTGGCAGGGAGCGGCTGCCTGAACAATAACAGCTCCAGTTGCTGGCACTGGAAAAAACATCAGCGGCAAGCAAGCTGCTTCGCCTTCCAACTGCCAGAGCCTCTGGCCATTTACAGACAGCGCCAGGAAAGGCGTGACTTTAGATTTCCTCGTTTGTAAATTAAAATGAATGAACTGCTGTCTTCATTTGGGATATCATTTTTTTCTTCTCAGAATAATTGTGCCATATATTCTGTTCTACCAAAACGGAGGCCCGCAACTAAAAAATAAGCATATCCATGAACATGAAACAATTTGATTTTCTTATATGCTCAAGCTTTTGCTGATCAAAAAAAAATTTTTTTTAATTTTTAAAAAATTTTTATGATAAGGATGTGGGGTACATTTCAGGGTTGGATATATAAACGCTGATCATGCAGGTACCCTTGTTGATGAGGTGTGCCCCTCCCTCTCCTAGCAGTTTCCCTCAACTGCCAATCCCACCCTCACTCCCCTGACAGTTTCCCATTACTACCAATCGCTTTCTTATAGCATTATAATTGTTCAGGGTCCATTTATGAGTGAGAACATATGGAACTCTGTTCTTTGTTTCTGTGAAAAATCACTGAGTATGATCGACTCCAAATCCATCCAAGTTGCTGCGAAGTCCATATATTTGTCCTTCTTTATGGCTGCATAATATTCCATTGTGTATATGTACCACAATCATTTTGAAGGCTGAGAAAGCCCATGTGTGGTTGCTTAAGGCCACTTCCATCCAGGGCTCTGCAGTTCGCAACCTCTTGGAGGCCCGTACATGCAGGCTACGCGTGGGAGGCCGGGAATCCTGAGAGGGTACTGGTCCATGCCATCAGGAGTTTAGCTCCATTCAGGAGATGTGGTGGCTGCCCACCCCCTAACAGGGATTGCCTTTACCACGTGTGGTGGGGCGTAAGTGCAATGAGAATGTCCTTAAACCCAGTGCCATAAGATTCAAAGACATGTCGTGGTTTGGAAAAGGCTCTCTGTAAGCAGAGTCCACGGGGAAGGCATTCACAAATAATTACCTGCACGCCAGGCCTTGAATTAGCCTCTGTGCACACATCATCTCATTTTCAAATAGGATTTAATACGATCTTTGTGGGCAGTTCAGTGTGAATTAAAGAGACTAGAAAACGTGGTCAGCAGATAAACACAATCATGCTAGGCATACTATTTTATAACCTAGTTTTGCCACGTAATTCATTTTGGTCATTTTCTGGGTCATTAGGTAGACTTTTTCACATACTCTTAATGTGACCGCATCATTTCTTTGACCATTTGCCTTACTGCTAAGTTAGGTAAGACGATATAAATATAAGAAAAATGAGGCCAGGCATGGTAGCTCCCAGTTGTAGTCACACTATTTTGGGAGGCTGAGGCGGGAGATTGCTTGAAGCCAGGAGTTCAAGACCCGCCTGAGCAACATCGTGAGACCCCACCCCCCATTCTATAGAAAATACAAGAGCCCTTTAGATATCAAGAGCACTAGAAATAAAATTTGAAGACATTGTCTTGTTTCATTCTCACAATAGTTTTGTGAAGCAGATGCTTAGATTTCTTTAAGAGAAGAGGAAGCTGAGGCACAGAGAAATGACAGTGTGGAAATCATTGGATTTCTATGAGATTAGTGAACTTGGTGAAAAACAAAAGTCGATGGAATGAGAGGCAGAGTGCAGGGGTTGCTCAAGGCTAGTCTTTGGACAACAGCCTGGGATATGAATCCCAGCTACTAATTAGGCAAGGCGATGAAACAACTTCTTTTTAGACTGTTAAAAATACTATATTTTGGCCGGATGTGGTGGTTCAGCCTGTAATCCCAGCACTTTGGGAGGCCGAGACAAGAGGACTGCCTGAGCCCCCGGGTGTTCAAGACCAGCCTGAACAACTTGGTGAGACCTCATTTCTACAATAAATCACAAAAACTAGCCAGGCGTGGTGGCATGCATCTGTAGTTCCAGCTACTTGGAAGGCTGAGGCGGAAGGATCGCCTGAGCCCAGCAGGTCTAGGTTGTGGTAGCCATGAGCGTGCCGCTGCACTCCAGTCTGGGCAACAGAGTAAGACTCTGACTCAAAAAAAAAAAAAATACTATATTTTTATTACATATTTTGAAGTGTTCACTTCCATATGCTTTCTTTTTTGTCACTCTTGTGACAAAATAGATGATTTTAAAGGTATATTTTCAAAGGAATATCAAGCATGTCTTTAAATGCAAAATTTCAGAGGCAGCAAAAACAGACAAATTAGATGCTAATGACAAAGGGCTTCAATCCCTCTGTACTATCCCTCGTATAGTATACTGTACTGTCCCCTGAGTAGTAGAAATCATCAAGACCACATTTAAGATGGATAGTATAGTATAGGTCATTAACTACTTATTAAAGAACTGGGGAGGGCAACTGTATGAACTTTTATCAGTTGGACAGAATAAAATAAAATATTACAGCTATCATCATCATTTATCAGTAAGAATATCTGGAATGAAAAAAATAGAATGTAAATTTTTTTAGAACACATTTAGGTAAACCCAATCAAGTTAAAATTTTCACCACCTCTTGGCTGTGAGCAGATGGCTCGTTGATAGTGCACAGTAAAATCTTTCTGTGTAGTTGATTTAAAATTTGACTTAAAGCAGGGATATAATATTTACCACCTCCAGAGTAACAAAATTGATGCTATGTAATAACCTTGACACATTTACAGAATCATATTTAATGGGCCCTCCGAGCTCCGGTGAATGCCACAGTTTGGTCTGTTTTCTGCATTTTTGAGAAATCTGGAAACACTGAAGAAAATGAAATACCTATCATAAAGTTTTTGCATCCAGTTCAACTACTACTCTCTTGAAGTTTTAGCAGAAGGATCAAGAACTGTATGTTCTTCATTGACTGTAGTCTAAACTGAATTTGAGAGATTTTTAACAGCTGTTTAGTGTTAGTGTTTGAATCTGTACGATGAAGAATATAAGATTTTTAGCATTAGAGAATACTATATATAATCAAAAATTAATAGACTTGTCATACCCCACATCTTTAAAATAGAATTTTTAAAATAGACTTTATTGTCTAATTTCAAGCATATACATATATACATGTATAAATAAGTATGTGTTATTTTTTTCTGAAACAGATAAACAATCAGATCCTGTATGGAAGAAGTCACCAAAATGCATCTGCCATTATTAAGACTGCCCCATCAAAGGTCAAGCTGGTTTTCATCAGGTAAGAGCCATAGATCTGGTTTTCTAAAATCTAAAATATCTTCTGAAGATGTTATTTTTGTGTAAGACTATGTTATCTTTGATTTATCCAATAAAATCACTATTTTGAAAATACATTTAACTGCCACTTTAAGAGAAGTATGGATTGTTTTGATTATGAAGTGTATTTGCTTTTTATGTTTTACACGCTAGAATTGGTAGTTGAGGCTAATATTTATATTTCAGTCATAAAACTCTGCCCTTACTGGATTTGATTATCCTGTGTATAAATATATGGTGCCCTTCTGCCTTCTCTTTCTGTTACCATTGTTTGGTACATTTGCTGAATCGTTAATGTCCTCAAAGAATAAACAGAAACTAGAACCAAGGACATTTTTAGAAGCTTCATTTTAAGAGTGCTGGTAAGAAATTCCGAATGGGGGTGCTGGCCGCTCTGCTGTCTGGAACTGTGTTGTATTTGGGGCTGCACATTCACCCACACCTCACCTGCAAGCTGACTGAGTCCTTAAGCGTACAAATGAGTCAGAATCAGAACCTTGTGGTTCGTAGCCACCATTGCCGACGTCAGCGGTGGAATGAGGTTGTTTCATTCTCTGTCATTGAACTGATATGACAAGTTAATCTGAATTGTTTTTAGCTGACGGAACTAGCTCTCATATATGTTAACTGTGTTGCTCTGTTTCTTTTCTTTCTGGGTCTTAGTTGTCACCTGTAAAATGGGGATAATAGAGACTCCCTCATTCATTGCAATATTTCACATATTTAAAATGGTCAGTACAATATCTATCATAGAGTATGCGCCGAAAGAATGTCAGCTGCTGTTTTATGATAATGATGATCATGATTATTCTTCCCTTTCTCATTAGTTACCGTCAGGAAGACCTGTCCATTCCCGGGGACCACTGGGATCAGAGGGCAGTTTTATTCCCAAGCACGGGAACTGATGGGATTGAAATATTCCTTCTCACTTCATCATTTGAGTCTCACCTGTTGTTGCTACTTTGCTCCACAGAAATCCTACATTAGCACCCTTTTCTCCCTGCTAGTGGCACTTTCTGGTTTCCTGATTTTTCACTCTTTATTTCCAGAAGGAGGAACTTTCCTCTTCCTAGTATATCTTTGTATGTTAAGAAACTCCCTTTAGGGTTACTCACCTGGTCAGACACCACTCTCCTTTTTCAGTTTTCTTGTCCTTTGTGTTGTCAGGGTTTCTGAAATGAGGGTTAGTTGATAAAAACTTGAACAGATGTGAAGAAAGATCAGTGCTCAAGGGATTAAGATGTTGTTCATCAAGAGAAGTCCACAAAAGCAACATGCTTAAGCCTAAAAACTGCGTATAAAATTGTATGGAGATTCCGTGAGAAGATGTATGTAGCACACAGTGGCGGCTGCTACCACAAGTGCTTGCTGTTGTGAGCATTGCTGTTACTTTCTCAGCATGGGGAGGTGTGTTTATTCCCCATTCTGGGCTATCCCATGTTACTTTATTTTTTTATTTTTTGAGTCGAAGTCTCACTCTGTCACCCAGGCTGGAGTACAGTGCCACACTCATGGCCACCACAGCCTCAGCCTGCTGGGCTCAGGCAACCTTCTGCCTCAGCCTTCCACGTAGCTGGAACGACAGGTGCGCACCACCATGCCCAGCTACTTTTTTGATTTATTGTAGAGACAAGGTCTCAACATGTTGCCCAGGCTGGTCTCGAACCCCTAGGCTCAGGTAATCCTCTTGCCTTTGCCTCCCAAAGTGCTGGGATTACAGGCATGAGCCACCATGCCCAGCAGGACCATCCCATTTTAAAGACAGCAGAAAGAAAATGGAATAGTATCCAAAGGAAATAATTTAATACAGTTAAGTAATTGGGAAATAGAACCCTCCCCCTTTACTACAGAAAGGTTAAATGATTTGAAACTATTTAGAATACAGAAGAGAGAGCTGAGTAGCATTTTATTTTATTTTATTTTTTGAGTTGAAGTCTCACTCGGTCACCCAGACTGGAGTGCAGTGGCCACTCTCGGCCACCGCAGCCTCGACCTGCTCGGCTCCGGCGATCCTTCCACCTCAGCCTTCCAAATAGCCGGAATTACAGGTGCACGCTACCACGCCCGGCTAATTTTTTGATTTATTGTAGAGATGAGGTCTTGCTGCCCAGGCGGGTCTTAAACCCGCAGGCTCAGGCAGTCCACTCACCTCCGCCTCCCAAAGGCGTGGGATTACAGGCTGAGCCACCGAGCCCAGCTCTGAGTAGCGTTTTAATAATAGTAAAGCTCTATCAATTTGGTGTCTGTTGATTTACATTTTGATTGTTCAGAACACAGCAGAATCAAGAACAGAATGGGTTGAGTAAATGAATGGCATATACAAGACTAAGGATGCATTGAGGGTGCTGCTCAATGTGTATTTACTGAAAATGATTTTTAGCAATTTAAGACTATCAGTGTACATTTAAAATATGTAATCTAATTGTAAGTTGTCATCATTTCTTCATGCTGCTATAGCAAAATACCGTAACCTGGGTGGCTTATAAAGAACAGAAATTTATTTCTTGCTGTTTTGGAGGCTAGGAAGTTGCAGATAAGGCACTAGCAAATTTGGTGTCTGGTGAGGGTCCACTTCCTGTTTCATAGAAGGTGTATTCTTGTCGGGTCCTTACATGGCTGGATGGGCTCCCCTGGGCCTATTTTATAAGGGCAGTAATCTCATTCATGAGGGCCCTACCCTCATGACCTGAATACCTTCCTAAAGACCCTAGCTACTAATACCTTCATGTTGGTGATTAGGCTTCAACAGCGATTTTGGAGGGAACACAAACATTCAGACCATAGCATGAACATTTCTTGCATGGTCACAAAATTACAGTGCCGAGCATGCAGTGGACATTCAGATAGCCTTATTGCTTAATTTTTCTTTTAGCTCCTAGTAAGCAATTCTAGATTATTTAGTCTCCAAAAATAATAACCACAGTTAGTTGTCATTGTTATTATTTTGTGATTACAATATACACATATTTATGTAACTCAGTATTTTACAAAATTCTTCATGCCTCTATCCCTTTTTCCAGTACTTTCCCAAATTAGCGGAGTTAGGAAGATTTTCTATGGCTTCTTTTGTAGGGAGAAAGAAAGATAGGAGTAATTCTAACAAACTTTTGTCATATTCACTTTTATCCGGTGTAAAGGAAAGTGAGCTTGAATTAAATCAAGAGAGATGGGTGCACTGCGGACAGCCTTTTGTTTGATTGAGTAGATGTGTATCTGGTAATTTATGTTTTATTAATAAAGTACTTCAATTGTCTTAAGGGAAAGAAGTATTCACTCGACTGGGGACTCTTACCTGAGGTGATAAATTCTTTTTTAAAAACATGGCTGAATTATAAGACTTCGTAATCAAAGAAGAAACCCTGGATTCACCCTGCCTGGGCTTGAAACCCAGTTCTATAATGCCCCAGCTGAGGGAGCTTGGTCAGTTTCCTAATCGATTATATGGGGAAGAAATAGCTATCTTATGGCTTACCTCATATATTGACACATACATGTTGCCTGGCCGTATGGACTCCACAGTGTTTGCTACCATGGTGATGACTACGCTGATGGCAAAAAAGAAGAAGAAAAGGTGGGAGGGAAAGGAGAGAGGAGGAGATAAAAGAAACCAGGAGGAGGGAAAGAGAAGACTCACTCTCTTGTATAAGCTTAGTCAAGTTCCAGTGTTTTGAATATTTTGTAAGTGAAGCACATCGAGTTTAAGAATGCCTTCATTGACATCATAATGATTAAGCTCTGGTAGAGATAGCAATAGACAGTATATCAAACCATTTCTGGGAAATGTTAAAATGAGAGATGGTACAGCCTGCCTAAAACATCAGGTCCCTGTCAGCAGCTGCTGCCTTTTTTATGGATGACCTGATATTCTAACAAGGAGCTGAACACTATTTAATTAAGGAACGTATAAAGAAAAATCTAATTAATAAATTAATCCCCATGCCAATAAACTATAGTAGATATCACTAAGGTAAGTTAAATTAAGTAGTGTCAGAATTTAGGGCACATGAGGAAAGCAAAAAGGAGAGTATTTTATTTCTCCTCAGGTCTGCACATGCCCAGGGAGGTACAATGGTGGATTTGGGTCCTAGTTGGACGTGCTGGCCTGTCGATTTTAGATGCTATTCGACACTTCATCTTCAGGATGATTATCTTGCTTGTTAATCCCTAAAGTGCGTCTTTAACCTCTGCCATATCTATTACTGTTTTCCAACTGTTGTTGTAAGAATGCTGGTTTTGTCTATTTTGGAACCAAATCTTGAAACAATTAGAAATGGATTTATTATCAAGTTTCAGGAAGTTAACACTCTAATCACCTCAGCACCACAGACACAACTTTGCTTTGCTTTTCCATTTTGCATAATAGTTTGTACTGTGTTATACTGTTGCTTTGAAAAATAGCTTTTATAAATTGTATTTCTTTACAGTTTGTACTTCTGTTTGGTGACATTTACTTCCTAAGTTGAAATTATTAATTCTCTGTGCTTTTCCATTATACAGAAGCTTTTGGCTTTTATATGTTGGCAACTCTCTTTCAAATTCATTTACAATTGAGACAAAAATGGGAACCAGCCACAGGTTTTGGAGTATGATTGGCGGTAGTCACAGAAAGCTATCAGAATATGCTAGAGGCAAGATTTTAATTATCTTAGGCCTTTAGTCTATAGTGGTTAAGTTAAAATATATCCCAGCAGGGCCTCCAAATGTTAGACCAAGTCTAACAAGGTGTCTAAGGGGGAGGGAGAGGGAGAGGGAGAAAATTCACCTCTCCAAGATAGGAGAGGGGACCAAAAGCTTAGGAAATATGGCGGTGGCCAAAACTCAAAGAGCACATGGCCACAACAGAGTTTAGTAAAGCCAGAAGTAAATTAGAGAGAGAGAGAGAGAGAGAGAGAGAGGTCGAGAGATAGAGAGAGAGAGGAGAGTCACCTCTGCAAGGTAGGAGAGGGGGCCAAAGCTTAGAAG